ATAATCGTTTTCATAATCGTTTTCAAAAAAATTTTTTTATTTTTTGATGATCGCACCATTTTGAAAACAGCAATAAATCGCCGCCATTTTTTACAAATAATTATCATAAGGCAGTCTGCTCGAACGTCATGTAAGAGTTAAAATTCACAACATGGGTGACAGCATTGCGGGAATCGCATAAGCCGGCCAATGGGGGCTGGCCTCTGATGACCGGCTTATCGAGTTATCGAGACTCACGTGATGAAAGATATATTAATTAAACAATTTTATTATTAATATGATTTGCATCGTAAAATATTCCTGTAGACTAGCTTGTCTTAGAGAATCGACATGTTCATTTCTTTAATCGAATGATCTACTGACATGTTTATTTCTTTAATCGTATGATTAATGACATATTTACCGCTCCAATCATATGATTTTAATATTGCTCTAATCGTAATCATATTAATATGATTTAATGACTGCTTTAATCGTATGATTCAATTACATGATATTGCTCTAATCGTATGATTCATCGTATGATTCAATGACATGATACTGCTCTAATCTATGACATGTTCCAATGACGTATTGTGGTTTAATCGTATGATTGTAATGCCTTGGTTGTTGATTCTAATACTAATACATCTTAACGATTCACATGTTTATTTTAACGAATTTATACTGGATAATTATTACCGTACGATTTGTGACTAACCAGTTGAAATCGTGTTATGTATTAATATCACGTGGGCCGGCTTATCAAACTAAGACCGGCTGGAGCTGTTGGCCGGCTTACAGCTTATCGAGAATCTACATGGTTTGGTCGGCTTCTCGATACTGACTGTGTATGGCGAAGATTATAAAAGTATACTAAGTAGTATTATTAAGTTCATCCAGTTTTGTTTATCTTATAGGAAAATTTTCTTTATCCTAGAAAAGATAAGAAGCTAAAGAGTAAAAGAAATATTATAGAGGAACGCGAAGGAAGAAGAAGAGGGAATATCTCAAATCTTAGTTATTGGCATTAGATCTTAATCCTTAACGCATAGTATTGCATTAAATTTATCCATAATGGTAGTTACAATGAGACTGTTAAGAGTTTTGTGCATACAAAAGTCTCATATGCCCTCCTGTATTCAGCAAATTTTATTTTTATTTGTATTATGCTCTTTTCTAACGCTACTATCATGTACTTTTAACAGAGTTTTGGGCTATTTACAAGTCTGAAAGCTTATTTGCACTGATTGCCATTTTGAATTAAAATGCCCGCTTTCTTTTCATTAGATAAGAATTTCTATTTTGATAGATGCAAACTAGTACATGCAAATTGCTCTGTTAGGACCTTTATCCACTATACGTCCCTGGAATATTTAATTTTGTTATCACGAATAAAGCAAAAACTTTGTCGCGTATATTGATGTATTATTAAGATGCCAACTTTTTTTTATCGTCTTGTAAAGCTGGACTTTTTAATCAGCTGTTTCTCTTATACTGTAAGCTCTCATGATAAAGGGCTACATTCATTATATGAGGGGGCTCTTATTAATGAGAGTTTAAAACAAAGCAAAATGGTCTCAAATTGTCACGTAACAATTGTCCTCAGACGTGGATATATACACACACATACATTCTTATTACATGCTCTCGCTTTTCCAGTTTAATCCAAGGCTAGATTGTTTATAAGCAAATACATGATACGTCCGCTATATACAATCTTGCGGTGCTCCTGCAGTTAATTTATTTTTCAACCACAAGAGACGCTTGTTTTCTGGAAGAAGTGTCGAGCTCTGACAAATTGTGTTGCTAAGTAATATCTTAATATTAACGGTAGTCAATTCTAATTTGTTGATTCTACATAGAGCATTGTCCTAGCAATTGGTTCGCCATTTCGGTCAAATTTATTGAATAAATTGTCTCTTCTTTTTTGATAGTGTTATTCACACTCTCGAAATTTGACGTCAATCTTAAATCTAATGATGCGCAATTTATTATTGATATACAAAGAATAGTAAGTGTACTCCGACACACGTTTTGCCTCGCCTCTTTGTTTATTACGTGCGCTTTTTCTTTTCCCTGCCAACTGCGCAATAATTTTCATAGCCTCGTTAAATTGGTACCAATTTACGAGCAACCAAATATTCGAGATTATATATAGCATTAATATTAAATAATTATTGCAAATAATAGATATCGAACTCATTTTTATAATGACAGTCTCATTTATGAAAGAATGTATTCACACATTAGATTTAACCCGTAAATAATTGCTCTATTGGTAATACCTTTTGTTATAGAAGCGAATGCAGACCGATAGTGACAATACATTATTTGAGCGTCAACCGGAAGAATAGTCGACCAGGGTTCAATAATATATTCGTATTAGTCGTAACGGCAAATAGATAGTGTTGGTCTGCTTGAGATTTGTCGTAACTAGAATACAGTATTTTACATAGATACAATGGAAATTGGACCTCCCATTCACAATTACCAGCACAATGACTTGTTGACGGTTTGATATAATAGTTTTTGTTTATAAAAACATCCTTCATTACTAAGCAAGACTTTAATGGATATTTCCTCTCATTTGCGAATCTCTAACAAGCTTATAAATGTCCATTCTTTTTAAAAAGGTGGTTTATATTGTATTCACAAATCTGGTTGACAAGGCCCGTTGGCACAGTCTCGTATTATTTAGAAAACTCTAAAATGAAAAATGAAATTTAATAGAAATGACAATTGAATGTCATAGGTCGATGCTAGCTGGATGCGGCCTAGAGCAATTGGCTCCTAGCAATCTATCAGTCTGTGATATCAAAAGCCTGTGATCGATTCATCCACAGTAGTTAAAGTTAATTCTGCACTCCTGCGTCATGTTATGCTCATGCAACGATTATCTACGTGAACATCATTGGATATCATCTGAAACAACATGTCATGTGCATGTGACCAGGACGATAATTGAGAGGAGAGGAGAGAGCGAGTAAATTAGTAACACACGGTATATAATGTGTTTTTGTTGTGTCTTAAAAATATCTGTGCATTGGTTTTCATATAAATTACCCTTTACTTTAATAAGGAATCGATAAGCTTTGTTGATTGCAGATCTAACACTCCTTGATTACTCCTTGTGCTGAATGCTGTGTGACAAACCAGGATCTGTTACGAATAAGAATTGGGGCTTTTCTGCCCCTAATTCTCCTATCCGCTCATTGCATTACATTTCTTTCTGCACACCGACAAAGATCGCATCAATGCGACGGGCAAATAATAGTAAACACAGGGATACAAGTTGATAACGCTTGAATCAACACTAATCACTGCCCAAGAGTTTAGGGTTACCATTTTGCAGCTTGCAGCGGACAAGCAACCACAATGATGAGCTCGCATTTCATAATTGGCATAATTGGTCAGTACGAAGCATCAATAGTAAACTACAATGGTAAAACGAACAAGGTATGGCAAAAGCATGGTTCGATAGTCTACTCAATTAGCTCGATTGTAGTTTAGATTTTTTCTTCTCTAGCCTCGTTCAACTCTTACACAGCCAATGCAATTGTCAATCTAATAAGAGCATGAGTTCAATATCATCCAAGACAACAAAAAAACCTGTTTATAACATGATATAAAAGAGTGATAATTGTACATTGCAAGTAAATTCGCATCAATTCGACATTTATAGCAATGATGTATAAATTATATTGTGATGACAATCCTTTTATAACAATCATGAGCAAACAATGGATGTTTACACAAATTAGATACACTTCTCCGGTGCCCCTTGTGCATGCTTTTGTCCTGAAAAGTAAGATGTCTTCTCCTATATATTGAACCACTCTCCCCCTTTGCGTCGACTCACCTCACTGCTCGTTCGATAACATCGGGTCTTTTGCTGTGTGGACGGATACAACGATACGATAACGTTTAAGGTTGTCTACGACTGTGACTCTGGCTAGTCAACGAAATAAATACTTGTATAAAAAGACAACTACCCAATTAACAATATTGTGTATTTTATTGTAAATTTCTAAAATAGAGGTGAGTCGATTTCTAGTACACCATGCATTAATTAGAAGTCCAAAAAATGCAAACAACAGATTACACACGAATATGATTGGTTACAAATTTTCAGCTATTTAAATAACACCTACTCGCTTCCCATTTTGTTTAGCTTCCTCCTTTGAGAGGCCAAAATCTCCGAGACCATCGCTCACTCGTTGAATCCATTTAATCCCGAACAAAAAAGTTTTTTCCCTTTCTGACTGGTATCAGAAATCGAGCAAAAAAACTCTGTATAATTAAAAACATAAGCAAAAAAACAACCACACATACCATAATCTGTATACTAAAAGAAAAACGACATTGAAATGGGAAAGTTAATCTGGAGTCAGTGGGCGAACGTAATTGCTATAGTCGCTGCATTCTGTAAGTAGCAACCTTGGATCAATTAAACCGTTTACAAAAAGAAAAGGCACATGCGCTAACTCTACAAATTCATTCAACCTTTAGTTCAAATCATAGGGGGTGTTTTTGGCCTCTTCTTCCGATACAGCGTGTTCAATAACATTCCATCAATCGAAAATACCGTTGTAAATCCCGTCAATATTTTTGCAATAATATGTATAGTCACCGGCATTTTAGTGTTGGTCCTGGAACTCTTTGTCAAGAGATACTTTGTTGCTCGAGCAGTTTTGTACGTACTCATAGCAGGAGCATCAGTGCTGAATTATGAAAACACAAATCCATCGCTATACTTGATTATTAGTGCTGCGATGTATATAACTGCAGAATTCCAATCAGAAAATGTTGTACATAAGACAACGGGAGCAACTGGAAAGGGGAACGTGTCGATGGATGAGAAGACGGCGACTGGTACGCCGAATAATGTGTAAACTAAAAATCTTGTTTAGAAAACAAAAAAAAAGTACATATGATGAATTAATTGAACGAAACAGACAATTTTTGGGGTCTGTTTGTACATGTATAACGAAATAAAAAAAAAATACAAGTTGTGATAAAAGTGTAACCTTGTGCGTGCTTAGCCAAGTTTGTTGTAAAGTAATATTTGTTGTTTATATGAAATGGTAATACAATAATTCCGCAAATTATAACAAAAATTCTAGAATTGATCGTAATACATTTCTTTATCATATTGCAGTTGATTACCTGGTTCGTTTATTAGAGCGAGGCTCAAATTGCGAAGAGCGCACTTATCAACGAGATGACTGGAACAAATGCATAGACACGACACGACGCATAGAGCATATATTCTAGTCACGGGTTCCAACAAAAGAAATTTGTCAGCAAAAGTAGAATATATGCAGTCAATTTAAACAAAGAATAACTCATGATGTCATTTCTTGGGGAATTGAAACCCTTCAAGGGAATCTTGTCTATTATGAGGAATAGCAATTCCTATATTAAGAATGTCTTATGCCGGGTATCTTACTAATTTTGCTCGCATGCTTGCTATTTGCATATGGGAATAACCACGTTGATAATACATGCATGGTCAATAAGAAACCTCCTTTGTTAAGGGACTTGAATGTTCATTGAGCTCTGGCTTTCAATGGACGATTCGTATCAACTATGAGCAACTACGCTTTTGCGTACCATAAGCGTACAATAAACTACTGTGGTTTTTTTTGGTGTTCATCGCATTGAGAAATAAAGCTCTATCTAAACTAAGCAGAGCCCTTTCTGCTTGGACTTGGATCGACTGCTCTTCCAACGCAGCACTATTACTATTGGTGAAAACATAAGCTGAACCAGTCTGAAACAATATATATAACAGACTGATAGTTTACTTAGTAAAGACTAAAGTGCTATTACGTATTATAGCGGAATTAATATCCTTGTATTCTCTAGTGCAATATTCTGACGTCAATACTGTATATTGCGGGCTTAACTGAAAAACGTTTCTATATTGACTCTACATACTGTACCAACTACCGGTTGAATTTAGTCCCTTCGTTTGTTTAGAAGGACTATTCTAGCCTATGTCATAGTAGTACTGAATTATACGGCAATATTAATATGTCTGACTTTGGGGATTAATTTACATCTTCTTGACAGTCGCGTACGTAATAACCTTTGTTTGTTTAATGGTAGCTAATACCAGAAGAAAAGCAATTGATGATGCAGTCAATCTGACGAGGAATTATAGTAGATACTGTACATGATATTTGCGTTAAAGCACAAATAATAATACTAATAAAATCTAGCTGAGATATCAGAAATACATATCAAAGCCTAAACTTATAGTGTTTTACTTTCTCTCAAGATATTGTTTGTCTTCAAATTTTATCATTATTACCAATAAATTTAATCACTTTAATCAAAACTGTAGTGACTCGTGCATAATACATGGGAAAATGTTATTAGTTAGGCTCGACTTTTGCATTTTGTTCTCTATTCTAATATTCTCTCTCTCTAAATCGTCTTTCTATAATATTGAAATCAATAATAAAACAGAGGTTTAATTACGTCAAACAAATCTATAATAGACGCGTGTAAACTGATATAATAACGCAAATAAATCTGCTCTTTTTAAAATTCTAATACTACGTACTAATCCCAATGTGGTAAGCCATTAATTCATTAAGGCGCAAAATTATGATTTACGCAAATTATGCAGTAAATTATTTAGACATATCAAACATTCTTTCCCCCCGTAATCTACTTGTTCTTGGCATACATAATGAGATATTTTAAAGTGCTCATCATACTATTAGCCACATGAATGTTGTTTCAACCTCTGACAGGATACTGTATGTTACATGATAAACGATGACGTAGTAGATTAATAATCGCATTTGACTACGAGGTGTAAACTAACAGTTTTAGTTTCTCTAATTTCCTGTCGATATAGGTGCTTCCCTTTAACCGCGTTCACTTATTATTATCCCTACACTATTAATTGCGATTAGAAGGAGCCATCAGCATTAACGAATCCCAGTGCTGATATTAGTAGAAATTTGTTAGATTAG